AAGAAAAATTAATGTGAAGGTGCTTTGTAAACCAGAAAGCAGGATGCAGCCAGGAAGCAGCTCCTCATTCAACGAGTGCACAATTTACCAGTCCCCAACCCCCAAACCAAACCCACGGCCACTGAGATCATTCAGACTCATAGGGATCCAATGCAGGGCTTCCCAGGTCCCAGACCTCAGATACTTTGGGGGAGTAGACAGCCTCATCTTTCCCCCAAGTAGTGGCTGGTGGGTTGGAACCACTACCCTGACCATGAAGGTAGTTAAACCAATGCACCACTAGGGCATGTAATTTAACAACCATCCCTGGTATATCACACATACTAGTCCTTACTTCTCCCTGCACTGCCTACTGGCATCTATTCCAACATGGTTTTTTGGGGGGTGGGGTGGGGTGCATAATGCTCATTAAGCCTGAGTCGGCTTCCTAGCAGTGAGAGTTACTCCCTGAGTCACTCCCTGACAGTGCTGATGAAGTATTTTGATCCATGACTAGGGAGAGGAAGAGGCAGTAAAAGCCTATTTGTCTTGCGTTTTTATGTGATATTCATTCAAGCCCTTAGTCTTCCTTTAAAGTCCAGAATTTTCACCCTGAGAGCATCATTCCTGAAACAGAATGAAGGCAAATGGATAATGACTGCAAACAAATTTAGCTAACTTTAATTGCGTGCAGGCGCGCCTGTAATTGTTGCAGGTCAAATGCCTCATTATTCCAAACGACTGTCCAATTTTGAAAGGTTGAACAGTTCCTGAAATAAGTGACTCACCAAAGGGAAAGCTCTGCTAAGTGAAGATTTTGTTCTGGTAATTTTAAATAGAGACTTCCAATGTGATGAAAACCACTGCCTATCTACACCTATCATGTATAGTAACGGGATTTGGTAAGAGTGCACTGAAAAGCAGCTTATACGCTACTGCCTTCGTGTTAAGAGTAATGGTGCTAAAGTTCATGAGCACAGGTTTTCGGTTTTGCGTTTTGGTTGGTTGGTTTGCTTTGGAATGCCAAATGCTTTCATGAAATCCCTCACTTGGCTGGCCAATTCTCTCACCTGTTCCAGAGCTGCCCTTCTCATCCTCCTATGGATTGAAGAGGGGGGGAGGGGAAGAAAACCAGTCCATTTTCCACCTCAAGGTGTTTCTTGCTACAAATTTTACATTAGATGAGGAAAGGTGAAAGAAGCAAAAATACAGATGTGGGTTAAAGACTAAAAGTACACACGCACACACACGCACACAGAACTACATTCTAACTTCTCACACTGATAGCCCATGCCTTCCAAGTGTGAAAAAAAAGCAAAGCAACTAAAAAGCCATTTCCTCGTGTATCGTTTAAGAGGCATGAGACTGTATGGCAGATTCCACCATTAAGTGGAGACCGTGAACAGCATTTGAAAAGAAAGTGAAGACTAACTGAAAAGTGGGACTTTGAAGATGTAGAACTATAGAAACAATCGTTAATAACAGCAGTGTGCCAGGACACTGTCCATAAGTTAAAATGACCTCTTTAGCTTCCCAACTGCTAGTAAAGGTTTTGCCTTTGTCCCTTTGTCAAATCATATTTTTGTTTCTTCCCATGAATGTATTTCCCCCACTCCCTATTTCTAAGGGTAGAGAAAGAAGACAGAGAGAAAAGATAGGTGGAAAATAATTCTATAGCTTTGTAGTTAAAAAAACAAAACAAAACAAATAAAATGGCTAGAATCACCTGGTTGGCTCTTAGCAGATTTTATGGACAACAGTTTATCACAGCAAGTGACATGAAAATGGCCACCAAATATAGTCCCCGCAAAGGGTTGTTTCACATTCACCCCTCAGCAATTCCTTTTCCAGGCCTCAGGAAATTAGGTGCTAGGATTACGTCAGGACCAATATAATTCCTTTAACCTGTGGAAAGGTCCCTTCTTTGTTAATCCAATCACATCATTCAAAACAACTTTACATTTGTAAGGTGCTCCAGTGTTCCATTCCCAAGGGCGTAGCTTCCACCTTCTTGCCCTTCAGGTTCTCTGTGAGGTTCAGCTGTATTCACATGAAAGTTAGGATGGTTTTTCCTCAGTAAAGAAGACATTTAAAGAGTGTTAAGTCTCAAAAATAGCTACAAAGTCCTTTGACGTGAGATTTATAAGTCAGTAACTTAACTGAATGGAGATAATCCCTGGGAAGTCAGAGTTCATTTGAGGAACAAGTTTTACTCTTTAAAAACATTTCTAAAAAACTTCTCTGAAAACTTGTCCTGTTCAACATGCCCCAGGGACACACGGGCAGCTCAGTGTCCCCTGCACCAAAGGCCGTGGTGTCTCTTCAGCAGGAAGACTCAAAACAACAGCCTGAGACCAATTCTTCAGGTGTACTTTCCAGTCTAAAATAGCTATGTTGCTGAAAAGCTGATTGTGATGTAAACAATTCTTGGGAATGAAACGGAGTATTTCAAAAGTATGTTCATGGTTGTAGTGGTGGTGATCATGGTGAGTAAGTGTGTGTGTAAGTGTAACTCACAATTTAAAGGAGTCCTGAATTGAATCCTTTGGCAAGCCAAAGCATCCTTTTGTCAGTTTACTGCTCACACTTTAATGTGTCCTTGCAACAAATGTGAGTTTTTGTAGGGCACGCTTTCTCTAGCAGGGCGAAGGGCTACACCTGCACTAAATAGGGAGCTTGTTAGGTGACTGTTGTGATCAGTTCCCGACTTGTTCTGTCTGATCAAGCGCAGTGGGCAGGGATCCAATCACAAAAGCATTCCACGAAGCAAGCAAAGCAAAATGTTCACCAAACTGATGACTGGATTGAAAACTGCTGGGGTCCAGCCCCTTCCCTGCACAGGGAGCGCAGCTCATTCTGCGCAAGAGAGAAGGCGCATTGAGATGATGAAGAGGTCATTCCCCACGATCTCCTGACGCGACAGGCGAGGACAACAGTGGACAATGCACCCACCAAATTCACACCTAAGTCTTGTTTCCCCGGAAAAAGGCCCCTGGGGAGAAAAAACAAACCAAACACCCCAAACACCCCAAACACCTGCTACTGTCCCAGGACAGGATGTCCTGGGGGGTCTTCCTCCGGCCCGGTGGTTATCTTGTTTTACATGATTTCCCAGACGAATCACCAATCAGATGCTTTAAATACTTGCGTAAACCTTTCACATCATGGTCATAGCCATTATCAACTTGCCACCACACCCTCCTTTGGGGGCAGGAGGCTGTTAAAATGAAGAGAAAAGTGGTGGAGAAAAGGTACAGCCAAGGTTTCTGGCAACACAGCCTGTATGCAAATGAAACAAATCCATACAAAAAACACATTTCACAGGCGAATCCTCTTTTCTTGTAAGAGTTTGGGATCATTTATGCCTTGCTCTCCCTCCCCACTCTCAGGCTAACAACTGAGGTGCCACTGTCTTGGTCAATCACTGCACACTAACATGACAACTGCTGCTTTCCAGAAAGAAACTTTCAGAGGAGAACGTTATCCGCCCCAACTGTTAACCCTTGGTTGTTACTGTTTAAGATTCTGCCCTTACTAAATTCTTGTACCCACCTCACTCTGAGCATACAGTACTGCTATAGACAAACGCAGATTCACTTTGAAAATGAAGATGTCCTTCTTTGCATCATGATTTAGTGATGTTTGAAAACAAGCCCATGCTGTACTTCCTTGACTTTCAGCAACTCTTAAGAAACTGTGTAGGAACCCTGGTGGTTTAGTGGGTTATGCCTTGGGCTGGCAACCTCAAGGTCAGCAGTTTGAAACCACTGACCCCTGTGGGCGAAAGATGAGGTTTCAACGTCGGTAAAGTTTTGGTCTCAGAAACCCACAGCAGCATTTCTACCCTGTCCTATAGGGTAACTATGAATCAAAACCGACTGGAAGACACTGCGCCTTTGGTGCTGCCCAGCCGGATCTGACTCCTAGTGACCCACTAACCCATCGAACCAACGTTTTCATTATAGCCAGTGCCCCCCACCCCAAGGAACCTCATGACTGCCATCAAACATCAGATTTTGCAAAGATCACAAGGTAATGCCTGAATAACTAAAATCTACCCTCCATGGTTAAGGAAATAGGAACGCAATCACTGCTAACCCTGTAGGCCGATTTGCACATGGATTCATTCAGCAATGCCCATTAACATTCAGGATATGAATTCAATGCCGACCCACCTCTTTTGGGAGAGTCCAACTTCTAGTTGTCACGCCGGGCAAAGTCCATTCGCACATACGTTTCGTCGTCTTCATCAGACTCTGCTTGCACCCGGGGTCGGGGCACCGGGCGGCGGCGGCGGGGGGGTGGCGACGGTGGAACGGCCGCGGCCCCAGC